TACACAATTGATGTATGTGTGGATTGTGATAAGAGTTGTGTATGAGCCCCACTAAAATGATTAAAAATAAAAAATGAATAAATAAAAAGAGTTGTATATACATCATCGCAATACATTCTAGTGCTCCCGCCCTCCTCTCCCACTCATTGTTTATTCCCCAACTCCCCTACCCCACCCTTCCCCCCCACACTACATCCCCAATGATAAACCATTACATCAGTTATTGTCTGTATGCATCCACTCCTTCTGTGCTTCAAAACTGGGAACCCCAACAGAAACAATAAAAACAAAAAACAAGAAGAAAATAATATAAATTTTTTTTTAATCAAGAATAAGAGGGGGGGGAATCAATATTTTAAAAGCCAGAAGAAATTTCTGTCCTGGAACAAGTGAGAAATGCTTGAGCCTAGAGCAAATTCAAGTTGAGTCAAGAGGAAGTCAGCTGACCACATACCATGCCATGGTTCCCTCCACCATAATCTAGTTTACTGTAATCTCTATCTGATAGTATAGCTGTTGGAGTCCCTTGCCTATGACTGGAACGGATCTGCCCAAGGCTTAATCTGACTAGATACTCTGCAGATGAATTTTGAGCTCCCATGCGCTCCATAGACTTCTACAATTGGGTGTTCACAATGTAAGCTCTGATACTTTCCCCTTCATCATATTTAGAATTTGTTGCCATCTAGGTATCTTGTTGTTATCATCTAGATATCTTAGTGTCACTTGTTTTAAATATTGGGGGTAAAACCTCAACTGTAGTAATTCTCTTGATGGTTGGATAATCTGGCAAATGTTCTTCCTTTTCGGACTTTGAGCACACTCTGAAGTAGATGTTGTTCACTTAAATCCTTTTTTGCTGCAACAAAGTTCATAAGCTCCTGGCTCACACCACTTTAATTTTATTTTCATGCCAGTGTATGAGAAGAAATTCAAATCACAAAGGGATCAGTGTTTGGGTCTATGTTTTCTTCTTTTTTTTTATTTAATCAATTTATTGGGGCTCATAAAATTGGGTCTATGTTTTCAAGCAACTGAGGTCACTGATCTTGAGCTAGCTTTTTCACTGTTAGATTTTTTCACAAGTTCTCTCCTCCCTCTTCCTTATTATTTCTTGCTCAGAATTTCTTTCCTCTTCAAAAGTCATCAAGTCCTGCTTAATCAATTCCCTTTCATGATCTATGTGCTATTCCACATCAGTGATAAATTCTAAATTCAGTATTCTTGCCATATGGATAATTTTCCCATCAGTCTGCCGTATTATCCTGTTTAAATGCTTGGAGCATGTTCCCCAAACTCTTGCATGTATTTTCTGGTAGTTTCCTCCAAGGAAGATGCAGTGTTTCAGACACAGTGAACAATTGTATAACCCTTAAGTATTTGTGTAATGGCTCCTTACTTCCAGCTGCTGTAGCTATTGCCTGAGCAAATAGAGTCTATAGGTAGCATGACTTAGAGATGGTGAGTACACCTTGATCCAAAAGGTTAATCATAGATATTGTATTGGATGTAGACATAGCACTTTCACTTCTTGATTCAATCATTACAGGATCAGGAGCATGTCCTGAGGCAATATCATGTACCAGCTTTTGAGCATGTGTGAGTTCACTTGTCTTGTGTCCTTACGAACTAAACACTGTACAACTTTTTATCTATTATGATTCCTGTTACCCACGACCCTCACACGTCAATTCCATTATAGACCAGGTGTTTTGATTAGTAAGTCATACTTTTGAACGACTGAAAAAGATAAATCAGTAAATAGTACATTGCAACATTGTGTATAGTACATATATTACTAACTAGTAATATGTAAAAAGAAACAGTCATAGCTGCAGTTCATCAAAAATAAAATATACTGCAAGTTGAGGATTACTGTAATGATTCTGCTCTTTGAAAAAATTGTTTCAGATGCCTTAGTTGGTTTGTATAACTTTTACCTCTATGCTGATATTTTTATTATGTATTGCTAAAGTAATCCCATATTATTATGCTACAAAGTTCTCCCTTTGATGTCTTGCTGCATCTGTTTTTAAGTATTTCAAAGACATGTTGCTTTTGCCAAAATGAGTTATCATTGACTAATTTGTTTATTACATGTCATCTGTGTAATCTTTTAGGTCTTCAAAGAGCTATCTTGCCCTCATTGACACTTTATATCGGTGATTTTTTTATTACAGTTTTATTGGCGCTTCATCTACATATCATACAGTTCCATAGTTCAATCGTATCAAGAAGAGTTTAAAAAAATATTAGCACAATAAATTCTAGAACATTTTCTTCTTTCTTATACTTGTTTGTTATTCAAATAACATTGTTTTCAATTGTGGCAAAAATATACACAACAAAACATTCTCAACTTCTTTTTTAAAAATCATTTTATTGGGGGCTCGTACAACTCTTACACACCCATGCATCCCTCCCACATTCATTGATAGTGCCCAATTTCCCTTACCTTCCCCATTCCAGATAAACCACTGCGTGTTATTGCCTCTGTGCATCCACTCCTTCCGTGCTCCATAAACTGGGAGACCCAACAGAAACGATAAAAAACAAAATGAAACCAGAAGAAAACAAAAACAATAATAATATAAAGATAAAAATTAAAATAAAGAGTAAGAAAGAAAAGGCTACCAACAATATTTAAAAAGCAGAGAAGAAATTGCTGTTATGCATCAAGTGAGAAATATTTGAGCTTAGAACAGATTCAGGTTGGGTCAAGAGGGAGGTCAACTGATCATATACTGTGATTCAGTCCACAGTAGCCAAGTTTACAATAATTTTCATCTGATAGTATAGCTGTTTGAGGCCCTCATCTGTGGCCAAAGGGCATTTTCCAGAGGCTTAATTTGACTAGACCCTCTGCAGATGGATTTTGGGCTCCTAGTGTCCATAACCTTTTCCTAATTGAGTGTTCATAATTTAAGCTCTGATACGTTTCCCTTCATCATATTTGGATTTTATTGTTGTCATCTTTGGATCACATAGGCTGGTGTGCTTCTTTGATATGGACTTAGTTGATGCTTCACTTAGATGGCTACTTGTTTGAAGACCCCAGACACTTCCAATTGATAACCGGGCACCATCTTCATTCTTCACCACACTTTGCTGTAGCACCCTTATCTTCAGTGATTTCTTTATGAAGGCGAGTATTGATCAGGGCCATGTTTTAAGAACTAACTGTTCTTGGATTGGGCTAGAATTAGGGGGAGCCTAGAATCCATCTGCTTATCCCCAGGTTATGACTGATTCTGGATTACTTTGGCAGTTATATTAAGAAAACAACAAATAAGACACCAACAAAAAACACCAAGGAAACAAAAAACAAAACCAACAACAACAACAACAAAAAACTTGCCAATCATCCCCCTAGAGTATAAGGTGATTGCATTGATAACATCAATAATTTGTTCAATGGCCTATAATCCAACTCCGAGCTGCAATCCATGAGTTGTTGCTTTGTACAGATTGATTTGTTCATTGATTGAGCTCTGTTTACATTGTGCATAGGGATTGGCACTAGTGGAAATTTTCCTGTCTCATTTCTTACAAGTGCAGATCCTTGCCTATGAGATTAAAACCTGTCATATTAAAGCGGGGAGCATTGAGGCACTAAATATATGGTGGTTCTGGGCCTTCTTTCATTGAACACTGTAGAAACAAATCCAGGGACACTCATACATATAAGAAAGAGCTTTATATCAAAGTGTAATTGTATATTAAGAAAACACCCCAGCCCAGTCCATAAGTCATCCATAAGTCCAAAAATCCTTCACAGTCACATGCATTGATGCAAAATACAGGAAGATCACAGGCCTCTGGGTGCAAATTCTTGTGGTTCCAATGGTAATGGAACCATCTCATCACTGGTCCGAGTCTCCATGTGGCTCCTCCAACTCTCTTGAGTGTAGTCCTTCAACAGGAAGTTGAAGCAGAGAGAGAGAGCTCTTGCAAGTCTTAGCAAGTCTCCCCTTAGCTTGTCAACAGGAAGAAGGAGGAGAGGAAGTTTCCAGAATCCTCCTGAGAAGGCCATGCCCACAAGGAGGCATCATCAGTCTGTGACCTGATGGACAGGCTAGACTCCGCACCTACACTATGTCTCAAGTTGACATGAAATTATGTAACTACCACAGCCACCCACTAAGCCAGGGATCTGATGCAAGGTCCAATGACTGCCATTCCACAGTCTTGGGGTGGCCATTCTTTGCTTCCTCTCCCCTCAGAGGATTTCAGTCTTAAGTCCAAGGCTGAAGGTAGTTTTGAGGTAGAACCCAGCTGGACTTCTACATGAGTCCTTGTGGTGTGGTGTGGGGATACCATGTTGCCAACATCTAAAGTCATCAGAGTGTTTAGTCAATGGCACAGTTCACCGAGGGCTGGGTAGAAATATATTTGAAGTGTCTACCTAAGACCAGAGAACCAAGTTTATTCTCCCTTAGGTTCCCTACAATTAGTATTTAACACCCCTTCCCGTTTAAGGGGTGTAAGGTTGTTCCTTACCATTTAACCACCAACGGAAATACCAGTGCCTTTTCTGAAATGGGGATGCTCCCTCCCCGGATTGGTTATTCTTTTTGAAAGTCTTAGGGCCTTTTTCCCCAGGGTAAATTTGTAATGTTAACAGAACAACTGTTAAAAGTGGGTCTAATTATCTTCTTATGCAAGTAAAGGAATTCATTGGTGACTTTTCAGTTTAACTTCTATAACTGTATCTTATGTTAACTGTACTTAGAATCACTTTGTAAAGAAGATTGAATAAGTCCTGACTTTTGTATCTCTGAAATATTTACGTTAAGTAGCTATGGATGGATGGTCTCTAATAATAAACTGAAAAACAAGAGTTAGGGTGATTTGCTTCTGGGAGTTGCAGTAAAAACATGATCCCGCGTTTGTTCTATTTACCAGTTTCTGGCTTTAATTCAATTACAGATGAGTTGCCTCAGGATCTTGGTGACGATGAGAATTATTGGCCAGATGTGACATGTGTTTTCATTTCACAGGTAACCCTGTATCATTTACTAAAGCTCTTTCAGTCAGACACCAATGCAATGCTGGGGAAAAAGACGGTGGTTTCTGAGTTTTATGATGAAATGGTAAGAAGATTTCACAGTGAGAGTTTTCCAAAGCATTTTGTGCTGAAAGCTTTGAAGTTATTGAACTCTTTTCCATTCTTTTCCCTCAGATATTTCAAGACCCAACAGCAATGATGCAACAATTGTTAACAACATCTCGTCAGCTTACTTTAGGAGCCTATAAGCACGAGACAGAATGTAAGTGCCATGTGCTCACAGATGATCTGTCCTTTGATGGTGGACCAAATGTGTGATGGGTGCCGATTTCAGTTTTTGTAATGCTAATAGGTAAATTTTATACAAATTAAAGTATGTAACACTGGAGACTATGGAAGAAAAACGTTTTCAATTGTTCCCGATGTAGACTTACTTCCAGAAGTTGAAAGATGGGCTCTTATGGTCTCTGAAAATCTAATTTGTCATAGCTTTTCACTAGTCTCCTTTACTTTGTCGTTGTTCTCCTTACTGCGCTTTGCTAACCAAATCTATGTGAAGAACCGTACAGAGTGTAATTATACTTGTTCCCTATAAACTATTTTATTTCACTTTTTTACCTGCAGTTTCAGATTAATGGTAGGTAGGACGGTGGTAATACTTCAGTGCCACATTGATACGATCATGATCATCTTCCCTCTGAGTTGACGTCTCAGACTCCCATTTCACACCACCTCCCGCAGCTACTGTCACACACTTGGAGTTGGCACTGAGGATGAAACCTGTTTGCCATCTTTATTTTAATATTTATCTCATTGTTTGGCTATTTTTTAAATTCATTAATTACAGTACATGTTGAGCACCAGTTATATAACGGGCATTGATCCAAGTTCTAGGGATAGGAGCAGTGTCCAAAATAGACGCAAAGCCCTGCCCTCGTGGACTGTATATGCTAGTGGAGGCAAAGACATCATTAGTAAATACGTAGATGTGTTTGACTGGTGTGCTGAAAAATAAAGAGGGGAAGGATGCCTTTGCTTGATGTAGGTGGTTGAAGTTTTAAATATTATCAGGGAATGGTTCTTGAAATTGTATCATTTGAGTATAGACTGAAAGGGGTAAGGGAGTGAGCCAGGGAGCACTTTGCAGGGGGAATGTTCCACGTAGAGCGAGTGGCAAAGACAAAAACTAATCCTTTCACATCTGACATATCCGAGGAGCAGCAAGGAGGCCACAAAGACTGGGGCTGAATGAATAAGGGAAGGAAGAGCAGAAAAAGAGGCCAGAGAAATGAATAGGGACCAGGTTATAGTAAGGGGCTTGTGGGCACCCGTGGAGACTTTAGATTATTAAACTGAATGAGATGGGAATTCATTGGTGGGTTTTGAGCAGGGGAGAGTGACTTTATCAACTAACAGTTGAATCTAGATATAATAAAATAGATAACAAACATACCAGTCGTGAGGATGCCGCAGGACCTGCCGCGAGTGTTTTTGTTGTGTTGTATTTTGGGTTGCTATGAGTCGAAGTCCATTTGATGGCACCTAACAACAGCAACGTGGTAGAATGATGGCTTAGACATGAGTGGTAGAGAATAGATGCGGTGAGGAGGGGTCAGGTTGGGGGTCTGTTTTGAAGATAGGAACAATAGGATGTGCTGGTGGTTTGCAAAATGGAATTTTTAAAAGCCATTTTCTACAGACATGGAGAAGCTTGGGAGAAACAGGATTTGGGGGAAAGATAGGAGTGTAATTTTGGACATGTTAGAGGTAGGATACTGTACGGCTAGTAAGTGGACATGTTGAGAAGGGGTGCCCCCTGAAGTCTGGTACTCAAGGGGAGATCTAAACCAAAAATACCAATTTAGAAGTGTATAGATGGAATTATAAATTGTGTGGTTGAGTTGTATCAAGTGAGTATGATAGAAAAGGGGTTCACAAACTGAGCCCTGGGTGAATTGGAGAAATGATTATCTACAACTCTGCTTCCTAATAGCCCTTGGCAGCAGTTACCTAAACTGTCCACTAGATGGAAATGTGGAGCTGAAAGCAGACACTTGTCTTTTTTTATTATTAAAAGATCATTAAAAAAAAAAGATCATTTTATTGGGGACTCTTACAACGCTTGTTACAATCCATACATTGATTGCATCAGGCATGTTTGTACATACTTTGCCTTCATTAATTTCTAGACATTTACTGTCTATTGAGCCCTTGGTATCAGCTCCTCATTTCCCCCACCCTCGCAGACACTTGTCTTTAAAAAGGATTGTGCTGCACTTTTCCTAGGGGAATAATGCTTTACAATCTTACAAAAATGCCTACTTTCAGTCCTACATTTCCAACTGGAGCCTTGATGGTATAAGTGGGTTACTCAATGGGCTGCCGATTAACCTCAAGTCAACAACGAAGAAAGATGAGGCTTTCTCTTTCTGTAAACAATTCCAGTCTCAAAAGCCACAAAGGCACTTCTACCCTGTCCTGTAGGGTCGCTATGATGGAATCACCTCGATGGCAGTGAAGCAAATTACACTTTGAAGCAACTTAATAAGAATCATTAGACTATTCTAAGCATCAGGCTTTTTTTAGTGGCACCAGGAGTCCTGGTGGTGGAGTAGGTTACTCACTGGGCTGCTAGCCACAGGTCAACTGTTCAAACCCATCAGTTGTTCCGTGGGATAAAGATGAGGCTTTCAACTCTACTAAAATTTACAGCCTCAGAAATCCACGGGGCAGTTCTACCTTATCCTATAGGATCACTATGAGACTTGTCAGTGAGTTTTGGTTTGGGTTCAGATCCTAGTCTAATATTTAAAACGAGCGAGCTTGAAAAAAGTTGGCGGGAAAATCCCATTATCTGTTTAATTATAGTTTTCCAGGAACTTTTTAAAATACTCTCATGTGTATCATATTTATTGTAATCGCATTTACTTTCTTAATATGATATACAGCCAGCAAGAATGTTTTAAATATAAGTATGTATTCATTTATCATAATAAGTTAATAGGCTTTTTATGAGTATTCTGTATTTCAAGTGTTCATTTAAAATGCCCTCAGAAAATAGTATTTGCTACTAGATATGTGGTAGAAGTGCTAATAAAACTGTTAAAATATATATTACTCTGAAATTAACATAGACACGTGAGAAAAGTGAAATAACTGTGTACAAATGTTGTTTTCCCTAGTTGCAGAACTTGAAGTGAAAACAAGAGAAAAATTAGAAGCTGCCAAGAAAAAAACAAGCTTTGAAATTGCGGAGCTTAAAGAGAGATTAAAAGCAAGTCGTGAAACTATAAATTGTTTAAAAAATGAAATCAGGAAACTTGAAGAAGATGATCAGACAAAGGAGATATGAACAGTTCTCAAAAACTTAGTAAAAGTTAGACTGGAAAAAAGGTGGGCATTAGTGGTAAAATGGACATATAGTGCAAATGGTGTTATGTACTTTGAGGAACTGCATACATACAGAGTTGTTGACCATGGATATCTCAGCAATGAGCCAAAGTATTTGTCCTATTTAAGCCATCTTCAATGTGAAATGTGTCATAAGAATTGATACTGTGCAGGCGTTTCTCGGCCCATTTTACGATAATCCTGTGATGCTAAGCACAATTTTGAAAATTCATTGTATTATATTTTTAGATTATTATTTTGGCAGGCATAAAAATTTTTGTACAGTGTATAACTTTTGTACTTCTCCAGTAGCTGAAATTGTTGTATATTTTTGTTCAAATTATTTTCTGTCCCCATCCTGCCTGTTTTACATCTGATGTGCCCAATAAGTGCGCAATAAATGTAGTTAATGGGTCCCGTTTCTGCCTCTTGATGTATTTCTTCCTCTTTCAAGACTTCCTGAAGCTCCCTTAATGTATTTCCATAGTCTTGTGACCACACACCTCTTTTTGGTACTCATTGTAGCACACAGAAGCTGATAAATATATCTTGGGAATTGTTCTGATATAGCAGGGCCCTTATTCTTCACATAGAAAATGATTCAATCCTTCCTGAATTGAAATGTGTCCAGAGACTCATAGGAAGTAGCTGTCTATTAGCGCCGCCCATCTCCCCTTGTATCTCTAACTTCTTAGCCTTTCCTGGTCATAACCACATACTGAGCCTTCTCCTTTGGACACATATAGTGTGAACATTCACTAGGGCATATTGGCCGAGCCATCTTTGACAACCTAGAAACAATAATGGGTTGGAAAGTATGTAAATATGTAATGTTAATATACGTTTACAAAGCTCCTATAAAGTGGTAGTAACTACGGTATGTATGCTGCAGGGATTTTGTTCTTTCAGTATAGTGGAAGCTGGCCACACTAGTACTTTACAATACTTTTAAATTCTTCTCTGCCTGGTAGATTGGTTGCTATTTTTATTTTTTTGAAGTTGTAGCCTTGATAAACATGGAGGTCATGCAAAGATCTCTGCCCCCAAATTTCTGTCAGACCTTGTGTGGAGTGACACTTCAGCTGTGCTGGGCATCATACAGCTCTCCTCCACTTTGGATCCTGATGATAGCCAGGCCCGTTAGGATGCGATTCCCCACAGCACAGAGTAGGGCCCCGGGGAATGAAGACAACATGAGATATTATTCCTCCTTTCTTTTATTCAGCCCCCAGGAATGTTATTTTAGGCAGGATTCTTTAGAGAAACAAAACCAGGACACTTACGATTTTGTGTGTGTGTGTAATATAGATAGATAGACAGACAGACAGACAGATAGGTTTATATAGCGAGAAGGAATATAACAGCGACAGACAGACAGATAGATAGGTTTATATAGCGAGAAGGAATATAACAGCTAATTAGTCCACACAGCAGTACAGAGGCTCAGTTCAACTCACTTTCATGCAACAGTTAATATACTGGAAGTTCAACTCAACATGGGCTGTCAGGTCAAAGGTCAAGGAAACACACACCTAGTCTTCCCTCAGACAAGGCAGTCAGAGTCTGCCCGCAGGCAGCAGGGTGGGTCAGCAACAGTCAGTATTTTGGAAGCTTAGTGAAGCAGGGCCCTGATGGAATCTCAAACTCAAGCATGGTGACAGGATCCACCAAGCTGCAAGCTCAAGCATTGTATGCACCAGCAGCATGGTGAAGCAGGCCTCAAGCTCTAGCAACATGAGCCGCTGGTTGGTTGACCCACAGGTAGTGCAGCACACAAATCGAGGCAGAGAACTAGCTAAAGCAATAGCACATTTGTAAGATCACCAGGGAGCAAGAGGGAGATGGGCTGCTGGATGTCTATTTATTCTGATTGTCCTCCAATCAAGATACAACCTGATTAAACTCCACCGTCATGTTCCTATTGTTCTAGTTGGGGCAATAAACCTAACTATCACAAGATATCTTGGCTTGTAAAATGGAACTCAAGTGGAGGTATGTCTGGCATTATGCATAGATGGCTATAAGGATTCAAAATAGACTACCTTGTTTAATCTGTCACTTCTTTTCTGCTCACTTTAAGCTTGAATTTCCCCATGAGCCTTCTAAGATGGTCCGTGGTAGTTCTATGAGTGCTTGGACCTCACAACCAGCAATCAGAAAATAATATATATCTTTCTGCCCCGGAAACTTTGATTATCTCTCTGTGGATCAAGGTCTCTGGCATTTCACTGTTCTGGGAGATCAGACACACTGGACAGATCAGATCTTAGGAACGGCAGTCCATTTGACACCCAAATAATATCCTTGCGTGGTTGAGTGTTGTTCTTAAAACAACTAGTTAGAGAACAAATCTTAATATCCAGCTTTGCAGGGCCTGTGTATTGTTCATTCTTTAGTATTTTTATTACTATGAGAATATCATAGGATTTAAAATGAATAGAATGTAAAAGCAAGTTTTGCTTATAATTAATCTTGCTCACTTTACAGATACGAAAACCAAGGTGCAAAGATATACCCTATCTAAGTAGAAAACAACTAGAATTTAGTCTCCTTAATTCAAAGTTCAGTATGCTTTTCTTTAGACTATAGCCCATAACCTGCTTAAGGACCACTTCATGCAACAGTTAAAGCGCTTGACTGTTAACCAAAGGGCTGACTGTTTGAACCCAGCTATCAACTCTATGGGAGAAGGCGAAGGTCTGCTTGCTTGTATAAAGATTGCAGCCAGAAAACCCTATGGGCAGTTCTGCCCTCACGGATCACTATGAACTGGGGGCGCCCAACAGCATGCTGTCCTTTAGTACTCTATACAAATTGCATTTACTCTTCATTTCTGTAGTCAAAGGTTGTATCCTGAGCCAAATGGGTTTGAGAAAGTGTGCTAAAATAGGGGTCTCCTCAATGTATGGTCTGATTTTAAAGTGGAAGACTTAAGTTTTTCAACTCTTCTATGTATTTTAGAGTAAGACTTGCGGGACTTTTTTGGTTTCGTTTGCTTTCTAAAGTGTTGCTTACAAGGTTCTAAGCTTGTATATGTGTTGGCATGGCAAGATTTCTACCTCTGTTATAAAATAGAGTTATAGAAAGACATTTAAGTGACACACTATCAACAAGGTGAAAAAGACAACCTACAGAATGGGAGAAAATATTTGCCAAACATGTATCTTGAAAAGGTCTAGTATGTAACATATACAGTTGACCCATGGGCAACATAGGTGTGAACTGCACAGGTCCACTAGACCTGGTTGTGTGTGCGTGTGTGTGTTTTCATATGCATCCTCTATGTAAACAGTTTGTCTTTCCAGTGAATTGTATATAGCAGTAAACCGTGATCTCTCTTGGTTCCCACATATTTTGTGTTGCATTCAGGGCACTACTGTAAATCTTGCATAGCAACCACCATGGGCTCCCATATGAAGTGCCCCAAGTGGTGCTTGATGTGCTCCCAAGAGGCAGAGTTGGAACAGCTGTAAGGTCTGCAGCTGGGTTTGCCTGGCATTTCAAGATGAGTGAATCTGGGTAAGGACCATTCGGGGACTGGTGGAGAAGAGAAACTGATGACACAGCTCTGCCAGCAGATGCAAAGATCTGCACTTTTTGCAAAATACCTTTTTATTTCAATGTAAAGGCAACTTTTATGTGAGTCCCGTATGTAATACATAGTACACAAAGTAGTTGTTATTCAACTATGTTATTAATAAGGCTTCTGGTTAGCAGGCTATTCGTAAGTAAGTTTTAGGGAGCCATAAGTTATATGAGAATTTTCTACTGTGTGGTCAGTTGGTAGGACACCTGGTCGGTGATGTGGGTTAATTGCTGGACTGGTAACTACAAGAGCCTTGATTCAAACTCACCAGCTACTCCATGAGATCAAGATGAGACTGTTCCTATCAAGGTTTATAGTCCAGGAAACCATAAAGTACAGTTGTACTCTTTCCCATGTAGCGTCACTCTGTGTCAGAATCCATTTGAAGGCTGTGGCGTAGTTTGGAGTGGTTGGTACTCTAAGCTCCACAATGTTCAAGAGCCAACTGTACAAATTTCTTAAACTCAATAATTAAAAAGAAAACCTAATTAAAAATGGATAAATTATTTGAATAGCTATTTCTCTAAAGTAGATCTAGAAATGGCCAATAAATACTTGAAAAGACCCAGCATCATTAATCACTAGAAAATGCAAATTAAAATAAGAATATAAATTGGTGTAGACACTATGGAAGAGTTTGGCAGTTCCTTAATAGTTACCATATAACGGAGCATCCCACTTCTACGCATAGGCCCAAGAGACTAAAATGTGCGTCCATACAAAAACTTGTATGTACATTGTTCATAATAGCCCAAAAGTAGAAACCAGCCAAATATCAACTGAAGAATTGATCAACAAATGTGATAATGCCATACAATAGTTGAGTCATCAAAAATGAATGCAGTACTGGTAAATGGCTGGAGCATGGATGCATTATGACAACACGGTCAATGGAATGAGCCAGACACGAATGGTCACCTAGTGTATGCTTCCAATTGAGGACAAGTCCAGACCCTGCGAGGCTAATCCCTGAAGAAAGAAAGGTGTATTGTAGCCAGGAGGTGACCCGAGGGGACAATTGAGGGGACCAGGACTTGTTTTTAGGAGTGATGGAATTGTTCTAGATTTAAATTGCAGCAAACTAGCCTGACTGTGCTGTAACAGCTCTGAATTGTACACTGGGTGAAATGAGTTAAAAGGGTGGATTTTATCTCAATTTTAAAAAGATATTTAGAAAATCTTTCCAGTGACAACTTTGGAATAAAATTACAAAGTTCTTCGAGATCTTATACAAATCTTGATTTCTGTTTCCCCATTCTTGCTTCTACAAGTGGGAAGAGAATCTTCTCTACCACAGAATAATGCCTTAATTGAGATTAGGACTTAGGGCAATTAGAGGAGACTCATCTAATTAAGCAGCTCCCTTTAAAGAAGATCCAAGTGTTTATAAATCTGTTTTTCTAACCAATGCGGTAGGTGGTTACTGCTGTTTTCCACATTTTACACAGAGGAGATTAAGGGACTCTAACTTGATCTTGAGTTCACCAGCAGAGACTCAGATTAGTGACTTACAGTTGTGGGCCTCTCTGCCTTGATAATACTTAATTCTCCGTGTGTTCAAAGCATTAGCATTTTAAACTGTCTGTTGCTCAGGCCTAAGTACTTCTCAAACCTCCCCTTGACTAATTGGAGTAAATGAAGACTATATCAAATAAAAACATCAAATGGCATGCATGCAAAACACCACAGATAAGAATCTTGCTAGCCATTAACAACCAACACTGAGGTTACCTCCTGTTGGTAAGAGTCCTAAAAAATAGTTATTTGAAAACTGGTAGAAGACATTTCAACTATGTGTTCCCCAAGATTGCACTTCCACTAGCTCCATTCTTGGT